ACTTCACACCCCTCAGCCGGTTTCTGCTGGCTCCCTGCTAGCAGAAGGCTCCACTGTGGCCTTCTGTAATTTTCTTTCCTGTTAATGCTGATAGTGTCAACCTCATCATGTTGAGAGGTCAGCAGTGCTACAGATGGAAACAGCTAGACTCTTCCTGTATTTCTCTCTTGAATGTGATCTTTGCAATCCACACTGCTAATGTAATTTTGTCTAAGTAGTATTTATTAATGATTTTATACCTAGGTGGCTGCATTATAAACTACAGTGAAAATAAGCCCCGTAAGCAGTGGAACAAGGAAACTCCTCAGACTCTGATGAACATTCTCAGTAACGCAGATGTCAGCTTAGCATTTAAAACATACACGATTTATAAAACAGGTAAATCCCCAGTTTGCAGGGAAACATTTTTGCAAACAGGTTTATTAATAAAGACTTTTTTTTTTTCCATACATAGCCCCTATGTGTAGAGCTTGTGCACTTGAGTTTATGTCACAACAGGCTGTTCGTTTTTTTTTTAAGTTTGCCAAATGAAATGTGGGTTTACAAAAATCCAGGCCGAGAATTCATGAGCGATTGTACATCTCCACTACATCTCTTCATGAAGAACCTTCACTTGCAGCTCAATAGCTGAACGAGGTTGTGACGTAAATGCAGCGACTGCAGAGCCATGCAGCCTCCATCCTGCTAAGCAGCGTGGTGCATGCGTTAGGGAGGTGCAATAAATAGGCTGTAGCCCCGTGGGGTAAACCCACCTTCACTAAGTCGGTACTGCCCTGCTTTGAAGACAAGATGGTAAGATGGCACGGCAAAAGATAACTGTAGTCTTTCGACGTGCACCGCCACAGTCGTAAATACTGGTTCTGCACTTCAGTTGCATTATTAGTTTATCTCCCCTATTAAAACAGATCACAGATTGTACTGGAATCTGCTAAGAACTGGGGACAAATTATAAATACAATATAGTCTTTCTATTCTTAATAATTTTATTTTTAAAATCAAAGGATTTTGGTGACATTTTCACTTTTATACTTTCAAAGCTTCTGAAAATATATTTAGAGGTCCACTTTCTGATGAAACTGAAGCATCTGATGAAGTAGATGGTGAACATGAAGCTATTGTCATAGACCCTGAGAGACTGGAGCCTAGATCTGATGAAGATGACACGTATGTCCAAATGACATCCTTGCATTTTTGTTCTCTTTGGTTCCTTAAAGTGATTTTTCCAAAAAGACATTCCCCTGAAAAAGAAAATCAGTATTTTTCTCAGCATCTAAATCTATCCCCCTCTTACATAATGACATTAAAATTTAGTAACATTTGATATCTTATTTGATATCTGATATCTGATTTGATACCAGGTTTTCTTTGCTATATTTATAGTTATTGATGGTGTTGAGATTAAACAGGTTGCTTGTTATCAGCAGATTGTTTTTGCTGATGACTTTGCAAAAATGAAAGCATGAGATGAAATTAGATCCACAGTGCAAAACCTTCTTGCGTGAAACATCGTTGTACTGACCTTGAAATCAGCTAACCAGTGGCAAATCCACTGGCCTAGTGGTATGTTTGCTGTGTTTGCGTATTATTCTTCCTACTCTTTCATGCATAGCGCAACAAAATCACTTTGGTACCTACTTATTGAAACATATTTGTAGAAGCTTTTTAACTTCTATGTTCTGTTTACGTTAGTGACCCACTTTGCCTGTTTTTGAAAGAGTAGAGTATGCATCAACACATTCTGAACAGAAATACTGTATTTTGCAGATGGTGTGTATGTTTTGGGGCGGTTTCTTGGAATCTCAGAATCTCAGTTTATGTCATTGTTTATTTTTGTGGCACTTGGAGATGAACTACTTAGGCATGTATTACTGCAGTTCAGCTGCAAGCTGTTAGTATCAACACATTTGCAGTCTTTTAGTGTATGCATTTGGTTTTGCTTTTGATAAAACTTATTTGGGTAAATTCAAAAGAGAAATCCTGTTGGTTCCTTAATCACAATGGTGCAGGAAATAAGTCTCTCGTGTTGATATTTTTAACATAATTTCTCCTAGTTGTAGGGTAATTTTAGGGGGAAAAAAGGCTAACAAAGATTTATAAAGTTGTATTTTGCTTTGCAAAATAATATTTTGAAATCTCTTTTTAGGGACTTTGAGGAAGATGACCCAGACTGGGTGTCGGAACTGAAAATGGCAGTGAAACACTGTGACTGAAAACTTGAATTTACCTATAATAACTGAACTTAGGCTTACCAATATTTCTAATCCACATCATTGTTGTTAATAGTTGTAGTTATTAATAAAATTATTTCAGTCAAAAAATTCTGAGTGTGCATGTTTTCTGTATCACAAAACTGAGGGTGAAAAATGCTTAACAAACCTTTTTAGCTAGAACACCTGCAAATAACTAAACAAGTCTACATACTAAATGTATTTGGAGTTGGTAATAGCTTTGTCGAAATGTTCAGTCAAAAGCATTAGTGCTAATAGCATTGTTCACATTGCCCCCTTGTCCTATTTCAAAGAGATGGTGTAACGCTATGAGAGCGTGTAACGCTTTTCTTCCTGACTGCATACTGAAATACTACGTAGTAGGAATAACTGATCTCGCCCGACGGGCATATTATGGAAAACATTTAGCTATGCTAAATATTTGAAGGTTTAGTTCATGCAGTTATTAATCCTCTGAAAACTCCGGAGCCTGAGCGTTTACCTTCATTACTTCCACAAAAAGGTTTTTGTATATGCCGTTGCATGTGTGGAAAGAAGCTGATTTGTTCATAAATCAGGACAAATTTTCCGATGTTTTTGTAAGGAGCCACACTTCTGCTGCAGACAGCGTTATGGGCAACGTCATGTTTGCCCTCTGCGCTGGCAACTGGGTACTATTCATTTTACAAGAGAAGCATGGCAGGGGAGAGCAGAAACGCTCTCAGCAGAGTTCTCCTGGGGAAGCTGTTCTGGACGGTGTCCCTGTAATAAATAATACTAGAGAATAATAAATGCGAGAAGCTTTAGGAAATTCGTAGTTTTGGTACGGAGCCATTTCGTACCGCACCTCCCGTGTTGCGCACAGGCTGGTACTCGAGGCTCTGCTGGTACTCGAGGCTCTGCCAAGGATTCAAGAACTCGAGGCAGCCGAGTTTTGTTTTGGGCCACCCCACTCCTGTCGCTGACCTCCCAGAGCAGGAGACGCTGGCCGTGGGACGAAGGCGCGGCCTGCCGGAGGGAAGGGCGGCTCCTGCTTCTCCCGCCGGGCGGGGACCTGGCCGCCGCTCCAGGGGTGGCTACGGGCCCTGCCGCCACCGCCCCGCTTCAAACGCCACACCTCCGCCGGGGGGCGCGGAGCCCGGGCCGGGCTCCTCCTCCTGCCCGCGGGG